ATAGCCACAATACACTATTGAAATCCGCAGGGAATACCTCTAGTAAACGCGCATGATGGCGAATATGTGGTATATGTGGCGTGGTGGTTATTATCTGGCAAAACAAACGCCCGGCCAGGCCACGTGTGCGATCTATTTTCTCAACAGCCTGTTGCATGAAGCCAAGTATAATTTTGTGAACCTGCTCGGGCTGTAGTAATTCCTTTGGGCAAGTCGTGATTAATTGGAAGAGCGCTAAGAACATATTTTTAATTTATCATTCATTATAAATCCATTACATTAATTTTACTTCAGTCTTCATACCATTCATTGCCGCCTCGCGCACCCAAGCGCCAATGTCACCACGGTTATCTAATGTATATTCATCCAAGGACTGCAGAAAGCAATCCACAACTTTGTTAAAGTACTTTGGATTGCCAAAGGAGACTAAAGAAAGAAATTAAATTTATTACTCAGTCTCAATAAGAGTAACATTTTTTGAAAATTTCCAAACTTCAGTTACCTTACTCTAAATGTACATAAAATATCTGCTAAACAGCTCACCTTCAGTATTTTTATCGAAGCCCAATGTGTGGACGACATGGCTGAGAGCCTTGACACTATCACGCCTTGACTCACTCCACGTACCCGTTACAAGATTCTCATGTTGATTCAACATCTCACCAGTTGTAATAACCGCTTGTGTTGGTGTGAGCGAATGTTTTATCAGACTCTCAAGTATATCGTCTAAATGTGGAGCTATCATAAAGTCAGGCAATGCGCCCAAAGCGCTTATATAACCCATTCGTATGTATTCTTCTAAGTGATTGTTGGCACCTTTTAGATAGCCATGAATAATTTCAGCATTAGTAGCAGCATGCTCATCGCCTTTATAGTAGGATCTACAAAGCTCCGCAAAGGCATCAGTTGCGCCCTCGCGTATTGCCAAAGCTTTATTTAGCAAACATTTGTCCACAATATACTGCCAGCATTCTGGAATTTGTCGAAGACATTATATAAAGACGTTCTGCATATTTGTTTAATATTTAATTAACTCACCCAGGCACATTTTTGATGTTTCTATGCGTGCCATACTGCAATTCTTAATGAAATCTGTGCAACAGTGCTTCATTATTTCACCACTCATTCCGCGGAACGAGTCACGCAGCACATAGGTTGGCAACAATTCATTGAGCTCGGACAACAATTGATTCGTGAGCAATTTTTTGCTTGCGATCCCCTCTTCTTTTTGCTCAATCTCGCTCAACGCCAACGTTATTTCACCAATGGCCATAACAGTCCCATGTCGCATATTGATGTCAATAGATTCTGTCTTTCCAAAAAGTTGGCCTAGCACTACAGCAGACATGTATTCAGGCGCACGAAATGTCAGATTATACAAAGCCTTCGCTGCCAATTCTCGTATTGTAGTGTCCCAGTGATTTACTTTTTTCTCAACCAAATGATCGATTAAGGGTTTTTGGTACTCCTCAAATTGTGCGATGAAATCCGAGACTTTCAAGTAAGAATTTTGTCGCATACCTACTGAAAAGAAATCGGTAGCTGTGCAAATTTCTATTCCATGTGGAAAATTTCCAAGTCGACCGACGCTTTCTTGGAAGGCAGCAGCTGCGGCACGTCGACAATTTATTTCACGATCAAAAACAGCCACTGTCAGCAGTCCCGAAGATATTTGTTCGACAAATGGTTGAAAATCCGCCGGATTGTATGCGCGTGCAAATGCCCAGCACATATAACAAGCGGAATCACGAATATGCTGTCCAACTGACATATAGCCCTTCATTTCGTCATAGAATAGGGCTTGCATCAACAGGGGCACCAACGTGCGCAAACGGTGTGGTAAAAGTAGTCCTCGTTTTGCCAACTCAGCCAACGCTAAACAAGCACCATGCCAAGCCTCATGTGGTTCTAATGGGTTCAGTATGTCTATGACCGAGCCAATTACTTCATCTGCAAGCTCTTTGGATAGACGATTGGTGACGCGTCCTACGCCTTTAGCAGCGCTCCAGCGTATATCACTGCCCCCGCTACGCAATGCTTGCAGTAATTCTTCAATAACTTCCTCGATGGCATCAGGCACAACTATTTCTTCTCCATCGCCGCCTTCACCCTCAGGATCTTGATCATTTCCGCTTGCTCTTTCATCCGTAGCTGCGCTATTAGTTTTATTCAAGTTCATTGCCAGCGAACGTGTTCCTAATAATTTATACAATTTTGTGTCTCAATATGTATGTAAATTCTAACAAAATTTGTTTATATATGTATGTCTCACCCCGCTTATACCGCCAACCTGCCAATCTTGGTTTTAAATATACCAACCCAATGCGTTGCACAATCTTTATGTAGCTCTTATATTTGAGAAAGTCATTGCTATCCTTATACTGTAGGCCAACTACCCACTTCAGCAGCTTGTCCACATAAGGTATCAAATCTTCACGTTTTCCGTGTTTTAAAATTGCTGATATTGCAGCTAATTCGCCGAATTTAGCATCAGAAGTTTCTAACTGATGCTGGCTTATCACCCAATCCAAATAACGCTCTAAGTAGACCTCTTTAATGTCGGCTCGCACCAAATATTTCGCTGCCAAATATGCAGCAATATCACTACATGTATCACTCGTGGATGTGTACAATCTACAGAGGTCAAAAATGCGTTCCATTTTGGATTTGTTCTGCGTTGGATTCATCAATTTTGCAGAGTCAACACAGTTATTAGCTGGGGCTGACTCATTGCTGGTTATGGTGTATGCATCCAAACGCGACATGTGGAATGGATTCAATACCAATATTGACATCCATAGCAATAACATATAGCGCGTTTCCCAATGATTGCATTCCTTAGGATTTTGTCGCTCGAGCATTTCCAAGGCGAATTCCAGATCACTCAATTCATGCGGTAAAAATTTCACCAGCACTTTATAAGTGCGCACTTTACTAATAATGTACATATACTTGAATGCGGAATGAATTAAACCTTCCGGCAAAGCCTTATTGCGTACTATTGCCAACAGTCGCTGCAATAACACATCCAATTGAGGATCCAGCAAATGTGGCTGCTCCTGGTATCTACAGTCGTTATAACGTGTAACATCTTTCTACCTTAGTTTACTATTTAGAATTGCTATAATATTCACCTTGACAATAATTCCGTATACTGCTGGTAATCCCTTTCGAAGCCTGGCGCATCGCAGGCCTTCATTGTATCGATCATACCCAGTATTTGCTCCAATTCCGTGAACTGTTCCAGCGTATTCGAGGGACCTTCTTCGTCCTTCAGTTCCTCGCATTGTAGCATATTTAGACAGTTTTTTATTTAACTATTTTACTGAAAATTTTTAGATTTTTCTATTTTTTTCAACAGCCGGTTGCTGAGTGCGATGCCAGTACTTTTTCGATCTTCCTGAAATAAATTACTTGATTTGTTGTTGCTTTGCTTATATTGTTGCTGTTTTTTTCGTTTTGTTGACAACTTCGCATTCCAAATTGTTCCGTAGCTAGATGACACATCGCATAAACCAACCAACCACACAATTTGCCATGGAAACGGAATGGAAATGGAATTTAACATAGAAGAGCATGACGAACGACACAAGTTCGCGTAAACGTCGCGTTCTTACGTGAACTTGTATTTTTGATTGATGTGTGTTTATATACTTGAGTTATTTTGAAATTAGATCTTTCGATTGGTGTTATCAGCTTTTAGATATCCCCTTTAGTCTCCGAGATATTGACTACAATTTTTTCGATAATTTATACCATGTTCTGACCGACATCGAAAACATGTTTTCGTTGCTAAAACTGGTTTTCGACCTAAAACTTGTGATCTGTCTTGTGTCTAACTTGTGTTTTCGTCAATGTAAAATCTGTCAAACAAAAACAAGTTTTCACTGAAAACCACTTGAAAACTCACGTTCCACTCATTCCAATCGGTGTCTGCACTAGTTTTTTTCGATTATTTATCGAAGTGGAAGTCATATTTTATCATCTTTAATACGCCATTTCGGATTTACTGCTAATTGGCTGACCAAAATAAAATAAGCATGGAAGTAAAAGGTTGTTATTGAAAAGAAATTGAAGGAAAAGTATTTTGGTTTTGTATTTGTGCAGCAAACCTGTAAACAAAGGATGTAAGAAATGTCAACGAAAACACCAACAGTCGGTGTGAACAGCCTTCAGCCCACAATCCCAAAACTCGTTTTCAAGATGTTTTCGTTGTCGGTCAGAACATGGTATTAGTAAAAATTTAGTTAGTCGTGCAGTCATATTAAACTAATCAATATCTTAAAAATGGCGTTTTCCATTTTTGGAGATCTTTAATTTGCTGCCAAATTGTGGACAAATGACGCTTACGACAAAATTTTACTAAAGAAAATCCTTCATAAACTGAAAACTAATTAACAATAAACACTAACACTTAGGAGAAAATCTACCTTCGCGTTTATGAGAAATTGCATTCCAAACTTCGCGATTTCCCACAACCTGCCGAAATTAATATACGACAATCTTTTACCCAGGCGACGTTTTGTTGACTTCGTATTCCAAATTGTTCCGTAGCTAGATAACCATGAACGAAAGAGACAAGATCACGCCTTAAGGAAAGAAAGAAAAAAGTTATTTTCTAGCTGTTGAAATCTCGACGCCATCTTTGTTGTAAGAAGTAAACAACGAAGAGAACAAAATAAAACGCGTAATTGTTGAACGCATGAATAATCATTTTTATTATGCAAATTCTCCTATAAATCATGTCGTTGTGTTAAATTATTCTTTACCTTATGTGTGCACACGTTGTCACAAGCGAAAATTAAGAAAATTGCAGTAAAAAGCCACCACCAAATTGTAAACAACGAACAAATGTAAACAAACGGCTTATGTCAAAATCGCCCAACTTTTTTCATAAGTGCGATTATAACGGGCCACTCTTCTGCTGTCGTGATCTTGTCTTTTTGGTTCATGCTAGATAACACTTCGCATATGCCACCCAACCACAAAATTTGCCATGGATCTGAATGGAATGGAATTTCAGATAGAAGTTTATCAATATCTATGCTTCTTTATTTTATGCAGTTTTTTCCAAATTTTATGCACATTGTTTTTTTTTATTGAAAAGTTAAATTAATTTTTTTTGTGCAAACGAAAACTCAAAATTATTAAATAGCAAATTTTTTAGTGAAATTATTTAATTTTCGATCACCCTGCATTTGTTAAATCATAAACTTGCCACTGTGTTCAATTTCAGTTTACTATGCAGCTACTTGATTATTGCTCGTTACAGCAGGAGTTGTGGACGAAAAGTGCAAAAGCTGTCATTTCTTGTGTTATTTTTACAAATTCAGTCAAACTTCAATTTATTAATATTAAATAAATTATTAAAATTATTTTGTGAGTACTTGCAAGTGTCGGGATAGGAAATGGAAGCAGCGCCTACCGCTGAACTCGTTTATCAGGGTATCTGTACCCTCTTTCACAATAGTAATCCCAAAGAGAAGGAGAAGGCCAACAAATGGCTGGAAGATTTCCAGAAGTCGGTGAGTTATCAATTGGGTTGAAAAAGGAAACGTTGCGCGGTTTTTCTTTCCATAGATGAAACAAATATTTATTTTATCAACAGATATATTCATGGACAATCGCGGACGAGCTTCTACAACAGAAACGCGATTTGCACTCGTGTTATTTTGCAGCACAGACGATGCGAAATAAAATTCAAAATTCTTTCAATGAGCTTCCACCTGCATCACACGAATCACTGCGAGATTCTTTGATTGTTCACATAGGGCAAATCACAAATGAAACCGATGCAGTAATTGTGACTCAACTGAGTCTCGCTGTTGCTGACTTGGCATTGTTGATGGCTGCTTGGAAGCAACCAATTATTGATCTGTTGGAACTGTTGTCACCACAACCACATGCCGTTTGGCCTTTGCTGGAGATACTGACATTAATACCAGAAGAAATAGATTCGCGATATCTGCGGTTGGGCTCCAATCGGCGCGAAGAGATACACAAGCAATTAGATGCTGCTGCACCCAAAGTACTTGAATTTCTATGTGTCTGCTTGCAACGGCACGATTGCCCCCAAGAGCGCCTACTTAGTTGTAGTCTGCGCTGTTTCAGCGCATGGGTGGCCGTACAGGCAATACCCATACACCATTTCACCGAGAACCCGGTGGGTCAACAAGTTTTCCAGCTGCTCAGCAGCGGAGATACAACTCGAAAACTGCATGACACATCTACCGAGTGCTTGTGCGCATTGCTCAGCTGCATTGAGGCCAATACTAGTCGATATAGCTTAGACCCGGCTATGGGAGCAAAAATATTCAATGCAGTTTGTTCGCTGGAGACAGCTTACCATATTAGCGTGGCACACGAAGACATCGACAAAACTATGAACTACTGTCGCATATTCACTGTTTTATGTGAAGCTTACTTCTACGAAATGCTTTCCCAGGAAGATGTACCACATTATTCCATAAAAGGATTGGATTTGGTGCTGATGTGCGTGGGCCACTTTGACTATGAGGTTGCAGAAATCACATTTAATTTGTGGTATCGTCTGAGTGAGGATCTCTTTCAACGTTATAATGACAAGTTAACTTCACATTTTAAGCCACATATTGAACGGCTTTTGGGTGCTCTCTATCGTCATGCGCAAATGGACGCAGATCACGACGGGTTAATCGAAGAAAATGATAGTTTTAATGTGAGTATTAAATGCAGCTCCAATAAACACAGCTGTTTTATATAAGTCATATTTTTACAGGAATTTCGACGAAAAGTGTCTGACTTAATTAAGGATGTGGCCTTTATAGTCGGCTCAGGCGCCTGTTTTAAACAAATGTTCCTTATACTGCAGGCACCAAACACTACATGGGAGTCAACAGAGTCTGCTTTGTTTATTATGCAAAATGTAGCCAAAAATATAATACCGTAAGTATATCCTTTTCACAAAGCAAATGCTCCCTACTTCATAAGTTTACATGTTTTCTTGCTTTGTAAGTGATGAAAATGAAGTTATCCCCAAAGTCGTGGAGGCCATACTTAATCTGCCCGATAATACACACATTGCTGTACGCTACACTTCGATTATGCTGTTGGGCGAACTGTGTGACTGGATCGAAAATCATACAGAATCACTGCAAGCTGTGCTAAATTTCCTGCTTTTTTCGCTACAGCAAAAAAATGGATTAGCTGCTGCGGCTGCGATAGCGCTCACCTCCATCTGTTCGGCTTGTCGACAGAAAATGGTTTGCCACATTAATGGTCTCGTAGAGATAGCGCGTAGTCTGGATAGTTTTGAAATCAACAACGACCTGGCCATTGGCCTCTTGAAGGGCATTTCCCTTATACTATCTCGTCTCCATCGCACACAACTAGAGACAGCAATGCGTGAAATTATTTCCTTTCAATTACAACCGTTGGCACAATTGGTTGAAAACTCAGCTGTCACATTGGCGACCATGCAGAAGGGCGAACGCACTGATCCGGCTTACTGGATTGATCGCGCATGTGCTGTTATACGTCACACGAATCCTGATATTGGCGACGCTGAGCTGCATCCAACTTTACAAATACTCACAGATGCATGGCCATTATTATCACAAGTTATGGACAAATATCAAACAGATGTACGCGTAATGGAGCGTACTTGCAGACTCATACGCTACGGCGTGCGTATGGTGCGGAAACAGGCTTCACTCCTGGTTGAACCATTGGTGAAGCAAATGATTTGTATTTATACGTTACATCACCACAGCTGCTTTTTGTACCTCGGATCGGTGCTAGTCGACGAATTCGCAAAGGCTGGCGAATGCATACCAGGTAAATTGAAAGTGTAGATAAGTTATAATCACACCACAGCTCAGCATTCCAATAATCGAAAAACACTTTTCTCCTAATCCACACAGGCCTTTTGGAAATGTTAAAAGCTTTTATTGAACCCACCTTCAGCATGTTACAGGTGGAAAACGGTCTCAAGAATAATCCAGACACCGTGGATGACTTCTTTCGTTTATGTTCGCGCTTTATCGAGTGCTGTCCCGTTCCATTCCTGCAAAGCGCGCTCGTCACACCCATCTTCCAATGTGCCCTGCTAGCCTGCACGCTCGACCATCGGGAAGCCAACTCATCGGTGATGAAATTCTTCTGTAACCTATTAAAATGGGGTCGAAGTTCGAATCAACGTCATCCCGAATGTCGTCCTTTGGTGAAGGAAATCGCGCAACAAAACGGCGAAGCGCTCGTTATGAATCTGATACACGCGTCAGTTTTTTGTCTGCACTCTTACATGTTGTCCGATGTTGCGGACGTGGTTTACGAATTGAAATTGGTTGTGACAAATGAGCATGTGCAGGCTTATGTGAAGACGGCACTGGATGCTCTACCAAAGCGAAATAGTGGTGGTTATGTAACAGCAACGCAGCAACAATTGGACGATTTTACTGCCGCATTGTTGGGGTAAGTAATCAGAGCTACTATAGTAGAAAAGAAAAGTTAACTTGTTGAAGTTCAAGTGAATCAATTTAAACCGTATACGCTGCTAAAATATACAATTTTTCTAATTCTATATTTCATTTTTTTCTTTTTTTGCAGCGCCGATACTCCCAAAACGATAACTGTGGCGTTAAAGAATTTCACACGCTTGTACCGCTAATTTAGCAGCACAAACTACAATGCGCAATTTTGACTATATATTTTATATAGCATACTACGTACACAAATACATATATTTAATGTATTTAACAAAAATTGATAATTTGTTAAACATTTCAACGATTCCCCGCAGGAATTTTTACAAAGTCAACTTTTAACGACTGACCATAAGTATGTAATATTTTAAATTTAATTAGTATATTTAACTATCCATGGGTTTTGAAATAAACATGCATATGTATTTGTGCAAGGCAATTTCCGCATTAAAAGTTGAACCATACATTAAAAACAAATGTAGTACATATACTTTGCCCAGCAAAAACAAACCGGCATAGTAGGGTTGGATGATTAAATAAAAACAAATGTGAGTGTATGATTGTCGCGAGCAGGTTTAGCCAGTAATACGTAGTTTATTTTTAGTAGAATGAAAATCAAAAAAGAAACCATGCCCACAGTTCAACGGTTAAATTGATTAAATTAAAATGTAAACTTGAAAATCTATTGAAATTTTTAATGTTAAATAAACGTGACCAAAAGAAAGATTGATATCTTTGTTATTTTATTTCAGTTAATAATAATAATAATAATAATAGATTGGTGCTTACATATATGTTAGTGTTTGGCCGAGCTTCTCCGATTTGTGGCGTGCGCCTTGATGTTGTCACACAAAAAAGAGCGACCTACAGTTTTACGCTGACTCCGAACGGCGATTGTATTTTTATGAGAAGCTGTTTTTCATGGCAGGAATACACTCGGAAGTTTGCCATTGCCTACCGCGGGGCGACCGCTTTTATTTCGGTTACATATTTTAAAATTCGCAATGACGATATTGGTCGCTAAAACTCAAAAGAGCACATTTTATTTGTATATTTTTTTATTTATAAATGAAAATTATCTTCATGATCCCGCTTTGAAAAAAAATCATTACATCATTATTTTATGATAATAGTTCTGTTTTGCTAGGGCCAACTTATAACTTATCTGCAATGCTGCAGAATTCGTCAATCAAAAAAATTTTCAAGAACACATAAAAACAGAAACTAAAATGGAATGTAATACTCACCACAAACATATAAGTGAAACAAACAAGAAAAATGTATATCTAAGCCGCACACCACATGCAATCATCACTACTCGGATTGACCGCATCACGCGCGCCACCTGCTTACGGCAAACGCTTCTTCAGCAAGCTCTCTAGCTTGCGTATGCGCCCACGATCGCCACCACTATTTGAAGTGCCATCTGCATTTTTTTCTGCGCCACCACTAAAGCTACCAACGCTAAAAATAAATGCACGTTTTGGCGTAGATGTTGCAGCAGCTGTATACGGCGCATCACCGCTGTCAGTTGTGTCCTTTGACGCCGCCGTAGTAGTATTCTGATCTTCATTCGACTGCAAGTCACCTTGCGCGGGTGCAGCACCGCTTTCGACATTTGTCGCTGCTAACTCCGGCGAGTCACTGCCTACCACAGCCACATGAGAGGCAGTGTGTTTGAATAAGTCAATCAATTGCAATTGATCTACACGCTTTACGGCTTTCATATCTAGAATTTTCTGATACTCTGCAATAGTGATGTCTGGCAGAAGTTTAAGCACTTGCTGTGTAAAGTGTGCTGGCGGTTGCACCGGCGTCATTACTACTTTAATAATCATTTCGGCACGTGTCATATCTTTGACGACTACTTTAGTATAGCTAGTGGGTGCCTTGCGATTCACACTCGAACCAATTGAAGGTAAGTCGAGTAATGCCGTTTTTAGACTATGTGTATCGAGCAAAAGTTGCTCACAACCCAGAACATTGTTAGATCCATCGGAATGCGTCAACTTACATTTGTAGAGGACACTAATGAATTTCGGAATAAATGCATTGACAAATTTATGGCAGAATTGTGTAAAATATTTGCGTGATGTGGCTAAATTGTCCCGTATAACGGGCACAGTCTGCTTGAAATTCGCGCACATGCTGTTGATGAAGCCGCTTTGATCGCCGACATTGCTAATACTTTGCCACTGCACCTTGGACATGGACTGTAGTGATGGCTCACAGCCTGCTTCTAAATCTTGCACTAGTAATTGTATGCAGTTGGAGATGATGCTGGGAAGAGTGATTGAAATTAATTAATTACTTAAAGGAGTAAAAAAAACTCAAAAACTTACCGATGAAAGACATCCTTCTCTTCAGACATATCAATCTTGTTAACAAAGGCAGCAGATACTTTCTCCTTTAGTTTATCTTCTAACTGTTGTACAGTTTCCAAACAGTATTCGGCGGTGGTTAGGACACAACAAATTTGGATTAAATCTTCGCGCGGGAAACGTTGTGTATCACCTTCTTTCAAAAAGTTATGGAATACTTGGCCGGCTGCTGTGGAGAGATTCTGCATATCACGCGTAAGTAAAGACATGCTTTTGCCTGGGAAGAGAACATCGAAAATGGTAAGGAACATATATAAAAATGAATTGGCAATAAAAGAAAAACAGAAAATCTCACCAATTGAGGCAGTAGTCGTCATCAATTTCGGCGTGCTGAATTCTAAAACTTTGCTTGCGTATTCACGTAGATATTTTTTGAAGACCAGCGCTAACTCATACATAGGTTGTTCATTGCTAAGCTGATTACATTGCACCATGCACTTTTTGTAGAATACAAATAAGTCCGCTGAACTGTGAGAGAAAAAATTTAACAAAAAAATCTATCGCACTACTGTCTATATTCATGCACCTTGGGTACACAGTGGTTCTCGATTCTGACACTTTTAATGGCTCTTTAGCCATCTCAACAAACTTTTCCATCAACTCTGACAAATTACGATCGATACTCTTAATGTAAATACCCAGATGTGCTTTGAAGCAACTGCCGATTTGATCGTGAAATAAGCCAATTGTCGGTGGCGCATTTGGATCGATAACACCACTTTCTGGTAGTAACTTAAGAGCTGCCGGTGCCAGAAGCTTTTCAGCGCCCAAAGTTACGCCGGTGAAGCGTTTCGAAAGAAGTTGCTCAAAAGCTTGAGTTTTATTAATGGCAAAGAGAAGAAGGCGCACATCTATTTCATTGCTGCGTTTTGCCATGATATGAGAGAGTTGCTCGCGTGTGAGGCGACAGAATTCGACGGTAATGCGCTCAGATACTTCCCAATCAAGTGGAAACACAGCACCGAATTTATCCTCAAAGTCTAGTAGGTGTCGCTTCAACCATGCATAGCGCTTGTCGATTTTGTCCAACCAAGCGATATCTTGGTTTTCGTGAAAGAGTTGTACATATTCCTCTAGCTGTTGAGCTGTGGAATACAAAAAAAAATCAATTGAATTTACAGTCTATACATACAAACGGACATATGTATGTATAACATTTTCGTACCAATAAACCATTTCAACAAATCTTTTTTGACTTTCGGATCCAACACGGAAATCACTTTACAGGCGTCTGCCAGTTGATTTAATCCCAAACGGTGTTTGTTTCCAGCACTTGTTGCTGTACTTGACTTTGTAGAAAATGCCTCTTTGAAATCGTCCGTGATTTGTTTGGCCAGAGTAACTTGAATTTTATCGACGTTTTGGGAGAGATTCTAAAAACCACAATTGGTAAGAATTTTTTTTACTTAGTTTTCGCCCATCCTTAACCTTATTACCTTACCTTGATTTCTTCGATATCAGAATACTGCTTGAAATGCTGATTTACTTCAGTAATTGCTTGCAAGGGATTAAGTATCTCCCCATACAATCGTTTTTCAATTAACTTATTTAAGCTTTCGATTCCACCCACCAACATATGCAGGTGATTTAACGTGGTTATAGCCGAAGTAAGGTTTCGTTTTGCACAATCCAATTGCTTGATGTCGCGTGTAATCTCCTTAACCATTTCCTCAGTTTTCTCAGCCCGCGTTTTTACATCTGTAATATGGGCATATAATGTAGATATTACTTTTTGCGCCTCGGTCAATGCCATTTGTCCATCCTGGCCGGTATTCGTTTGGCCACGTACGACGGCGCGTATATTATCATCAATAAGTGACACTTCGCACTGCATACGCTGTATGGTCTCATCAATGCTCACCAAAGATTGTTCGTTCGGAAAGAGCTGATTTATGTAATCGACTGTGTTGAAATCCGGCGAGTCCATGGGATCCTCAGTTTTTAATACCTGTAGAGAAATCAGAGTCTCAATTGTAAATTAGGTTGCGAGTCGCACTTTCTAAGCATATGTACCTCATCGATTGCATTTTTCACGTCCTTTGTAAAATGAATTCTATTGGTTCCAACTGGCCTGATTGCATTGCCATCATCAACATTCCCTTCCAACTCAGTTTCATTCATTCTTTGTTTTTTTTTTTCTTTTTAGTTGAACGACAGGATCTTGGTAGTCCACAAGAGGCAAATCAATTCCAGGCTGTTCCTGTATTTGCCTTTTTGTGGTATATGTATGTCCGTTTCTTAATATTTTGACTTATGAACGCACCTTTTAAATGGCCAATTTCCGGATGGTTTTAAAAATTTGTTCAATTTTCGTAAAAACCGAATCCCAATGAAACAGGGAAAAATTGCATCAACACGAAACGTCATCAAAGATGAGTCAAACAGCTGATTGTCTACTGAAAAATGATGCCAGACCTCAAAATTCGTTAAGGTAGTGAAAAATCAAAGCAAATGATTGCATGCCAAAAATACTGAGCAAAATGTCCAAAGAGGTATTTGTAGAAAACCATGTTTTTATCATGTAGAAAACGCAGATGAGTATATTTTTTCTTTATTTATTGTGAGAAATGACTCGTATTCATTGAATTACTCAAACCTAATGAAGAAGTATCCCGTTGCGTAGCCATCGCCGTCCGCTGATAACGAGCAATATGATCCAAAGAATGCGGGAGAATTGGCCTTACAGTGTGAATTTCCAAAAGTGTTAAATTATCCAACTTTGCATATGTGCCTTCACCCTTGATGAATGCGTCAATTGAAGTGCGCAATTTAGATTCACGTATATCAAATATATCTTTGATAATCGTTCGTAGCTCTTCACATTGCGGCACATCGTCAGGTGCAGTACTCATGATCAGCTGCGCTTCGACCATGTAATGTTCGCTGGGCATTTTTGTGAAGAACCTAAGGAATAAAGATAGTGGTATATGAACATTCCACTTGGACATTAGTTATTTAATTCTTACTTTGATTTTTTCTCTGCCTCCTTGATTTCTTCCAACAGCTCCATGTCCATCCATTCGGGTGGCACAATGCGGCACTTCTGTTGTTTACGTAGATGTATACCAAGCCAAAGCGGCACATGGACTGGGAGACCGGCGCGGAATGGTCCAACACTGCCCGATATCAAATGCAAAGGATCGAATGAAAAGTTTGGTACAATGCCAATGGTGGACTTCTCCCCAATAAATTCAATAACACAAGGCTCCATTGCTGTTTAAATTATTTACTTTTCGCTATGATACGCAGCTGATTTGTTCATGTTTTGCCGCCAAATTTGTAAACAAAAAAATACAGGGAGTAAAAATCAGAATAGAGGGAAGAAATTGTTCGGAAGGGTATTTTAATTGCAAGCAGGGTTGCCACTCAGGTAAATTATTACCAAAATTGCGCGCTTTATTTTGATAGATATTTGTTAAATATTGTTTGAAAAGCAAATACAATTTTCTTCCCGCTTTATTTTTCGTAGTTATCTTTATATTATAAATTTGTTTCCATAAGTGTAGTCTTCTTTATTGCATTAATTTTCGAAAGCTTTAGTATAAACTTTTTAGACATACAATATACGAATGTCTTCTCAGAATCAGGGCACAAAATAGATGTGGTATTTAACCAGATCACGCGCTATGTGTTTGGGCTAGCAAAATATGATCATATTTCCGCTTAAGGAACACTTCTACTTGGCTGCGAAATTTTTAAATATCTTTAAGCTAGAAATTGTATATTCATTTTTCGTCTCATGACGGAGAAGGCATCCAAATTTCTGTATGAAAAAACAACGCTCCCCAAATCACCTCGAGTAGAGAACTTGACTGTTACAACTACTACAACACTACAACAACTACAACACTACTGGACTACAATTATCTCAGCTCTGCACGGCTATTTGTCAATGCTATCCGGAACTCTGGAACTCTATCCCATCTCATATTCGCAGTAGTTTAATCTAGTGTTGGGAAGTATCGAGTACTTTTGAGGATCGAGTTCTCTGGTATCGATACTTTTAAGGATCGGCTATTTTGCAGAGTACTGAGTATTTTCATTTTGGTTGTAGGTGTTTCTGGCAGGGTAGGAGTGTGATGTAAAGTGGAACGATTTTCCGTCATCCCTTGTCAAATTTGGTTTGGATGCAAACCGGTTTCGCCGTTGTGCCATCTTCAGTGTCATTTCGTTCCGAATAGTTTCTGTTTGTCCGTCACTATTTACAGCCGTGCTAAATCGGTTCTTAGTTAGGTTCGTCTCAGCGGATTATATTCTTTCGTTCAACCATTGGTTTTTGTTCTGTGCATACATCCTCAGGTAGAAATCAGCTGCTCACTTTTTCTTTATTAATTGTTGCACGGATTCGCAGGTAGGTAAAATCAGTTTTTTTCTTTCAATACTTAGTGTAAAAATCTTACAAACTGGCAGTATTTTATTTAAATTAATATATGAATCCCAAATTACGCCAAATGGCTAACTGTACTGGGTACAAGTATTGTACTTGAAAATTATTGAAACTGCAAATTGAGTACAATCATTTCTGAATACCGTTAAATGTAAATAAAACTCTTGAGTACTTTGAATCGATCCCGAGTACATGTATCAAAGCGATTATTGGAACAGAGTATTTTTGAGTACCGAGTACTTTTGAGTTTGAAGTTATGAATGCTTTCGAAGTGTTTTCGAGTTCTTTGGAGTATTCAGTATCGATACTTTTAAAAATCGGGTGCTGTCGATCCTTTTGAGAATCGAGTTCTGAGTACTTTCGGTATCGATACTGTCCAACAGTAGTTTAAACAAAAGCAACTGTAAAAATGTTCTGTTAGCGTTAGCTTCACTTCAGTCCTTGAGAAGTGCTCTCTATGTACTCGTTTAATTAAGTCTTATTTTATGTGTATGTCCTGGAATCGGAGAACTTACTTAAAAATACTGCTTTCTTTGTTACTTATCTAATGTTACTTTTATTTAGTCTTAAGTAATTTTTGCTGTTTTAGTTATATGTATGTATGTATGTTATGAAGATTTTGTTGCGCTATAAAAGATCTTTCTTTTGATCTTGTTGTGCTAATTATTTGATTAATAAATGAAATGAAAAATACATACATTTAGGCATTACTTAATTTAATTAAATTAAATATGTAAGTATGTATATCGATAGAAAGCGAACATATCGTGCTCCATTCAGAACAAATTTTACTGGAATCTTTAGGTTTTGATTGTCTAAGCCTTTTATGTTTATTTAAATAAAAAGAAAAAATGGACAGGTTTGTATTTACACACAATGATAAAAAAATAAATAAATAAAAAAATCACCGCCAGTTTTTATAAATGGCAATTGTTAAATGAAAAAAAAACACAAAAGACCGGCGGCAAAAATAAATACATATATTTTTTAACCAACGGGAATGTTTAGCTGCACATTGTTGGTTATACTAAAATTTCATGGGCTAGAAAACTGCATAAATAGTTCTAAAAATTCAGAGCTCTAAATAACTTGTTTCAAATGTAAATAGCTTGAGATTTTAGTTTTTATAGGTTTAGTTAAAGCGCACACAATATTCTTATACAAATAAAAATTGCAAAAAATGTTTACCCTTTTGAGTCACTGTATTAGCTTATAATAACTCCAATTGAAGTTTTTTTTTAATAATGAAGTTTCATTGTTGGCTTTAATTTCATCACTTTCGCTTTTGGTTTAAGAAAACCGAGAAGATGCCATTAATATGATCTCAAATACCATATCATTAGTTAAATAAAAAGTTCCTTAATAAACAATTTTAATTTTTATTGAAATAACTAAAAAAAAAAATCCAAGCTAGAGTTTTTATTAAAATAACTGAAAAAAAGTTATTGGTAGATATTTTCCAGATTTGGCAATTTTTTCCAATTGGTGGGTGAATTTTTTTTTCGTCAGTGGCAACCCTGATTTCAATGTAAATTGGAATTGAAATGTAGTACTTTTTTACGACGATATTGAAAATCCCTATTTTTGACGTTAACGAAATGTTAAACATCTTGTGGTTTCCATTATTTGTCGATTTATTTTGATAATAAATAAAATTTTTTTTTCTACAAAACATCCAAAAATACGATATGTATGTCCACAAAAATTTAAACATATTTAAAGATTCTCGGGCAATACTTTCAACCTCTTATAAAATATTCATAATTTAAGATACATGCAAGTTCAATTAATGATAACATAAATTCGTAAATACAATTGACAATACACAATTTAAATAGAAATTATTTCGAGTTATATAAATATCGTTACCTTAGTTCACAAACCCCCTAACCAACACTTTTTTCGAAACTGCGTTTTTCATAGATTTTGGTAGGATATAATCAACGACACCTTCAATACAAATTCTAAAGTTCAAGTACCAAAAACAAGAGTTGCATGCCACTTTTTAAAAAACCTACCTGTTTTTGATATTACTTTTATGTTATTGTTGTTGTTGTAACCGCATACAAATTCCCCAAAGAGTTTTTGGGGAGTGTTGCTGAAGTGACAGTCCTTGGCCAGATATAAGTCTGGGTCGTTCCGGTTACGTAGACCCGACTGTCGTGGGAACATTTATATAATGTTTTTTTGGTTCCCCTGTAAAATAAAAAATTGTTTGGTTAGGGCCTTTGTGAATTACGGTAACGATATGTAGTTCAATCTACCACTATACGCACATACTTGCATGCATATCGCCCGTTTACCAAAAAAAACTGTCACTAGTCAAAAAACGAGATTTTTCAGGAGACACCTTTAAGGCTTGCTCTTGAGTTGTGACCAAGGTGTATTAACAGGGTGTGATTGGACCAAAATGTATTCAACAAAGTGTGATTGAATTTGGCATTGCTCTCAGAACCATCCTATAAATTCAAATTGAAAAAAATGTGTATGAATTTTGAATAGATTTTTTATATTTTTGGCATAATAGTACCTTAAAAGAGAGCCTACCTGAGTTGTCAAACACACCTTGTTTAATAGGCCTTGGTAGCGACAGTCTTTTAGTAAATGAGCGATATGCATAAACATACATAAATACATACATATATGTATGTATATAATGCATTTGCAAGTAATATCAAGACGATGAAATAATTGCAACTGGAAGCATGTTCGTACTATGAATGTACACTGCATACATATTAGTTTATAAACAAGTGCACTTTTTTTCCTTAGATGCTATATAATATAAAAAATATGTATGCGAACACTATGCGCTATTTTCTACATATGTACGTAGAGTGGTCCAAAACCAATAAAGTCGGGATTTTAATGCCGCCACTCCCTATGATTGTTCTATACCGAAAATCAAAAAATATTTAGGGAGTGCTCAAAGCGCTCAAAGTTTTCCATGGATTTTATATGTGGAAAACTACTTTTCGTAGAAATGGTATAGAATTCTTGAAAATCAATATTTTTCGATCGGAAAACTGTAGTTCTCTTCAAAAGACTTCCAATATTAATATCCAATTGTTTAATAACCACTTTTTAATTCTAAAGATTTTTTATTGGTCCCCCATTGCATTTTCTGGGGGTTTTGGCGAACCTATAAAATATAGTTACCTGAAAAAATGGTTAAGGAAAAAATTGGGTATTATTACTGGGAATCTCCTGAAGAGAAACAAAGTTTTCCGTCCGAAAAATATTGACCATTTCTATGAAGAGTTGTTTTTCCCCCCATACTCCCTAAATATCTTTTGATTTCAAAATAAAAAGATAGGGGTATATCTTTTTTCGTATAGAACAATCCTAGGGGTGGCGGCATTAAAATTTCGACTACTTTTTCACATGCATTTTTTGACCACCCTAATATGTATGCATGTGCACTATTTTCAATATTTTATATATGAATGTATGAATGCATATATTATTTATATAGTTTCAGTGCGCGGATCCAGCTTGTGAATGGCCTGGATAAGTGTAGGACAATTTTTTATATTAATGCCCTTTTTAGACATTTCCTCGAGACGATCAGTTAGCGGCTTTTGATCCAAGCCCCGCTGCCACCTAAAAAATACATTTTTTAATAACTTAATTTCGAAGAACTGGAAAAGTTTTGTCTACTCACCAAAGATGTGTGCATGTGTGTAGTAATGGAATATATAATTGTAGGAGATCAATGTCACACAATGTATCGTAACGGCTCAGCGCCAACGTTGCCCAGCGTTCGGCCGAATGATGCGGCACCGGTGACATGGTGCAGGCAGCAACAAGACGACACAAAATTAATAGGACAGCCCGGGAACGATCCATGAAAATTTTATTTAGTAACCGAAAACAATTTTCTAGCAATGGAATAGCCATTTCGTTGCGACGCTCGTCCAAGAGTTGACATGCCTTGGCTAGTTCGTGATCTTGAAGAAAGTGTAAAAACGCAGGCGTGTCGCGTAATGTACTGCAACTGACGACATGACTGAGGAATGTCTCAAAGGCAGCACTACGTTCTGCTATTAAATCAGCCGAAAAATTTCCAACAAGGACCTTATTGGGAAAATACAATGAAGACATCTTAGTTGGAAACTCCTTTTTAAGACTATTGTAGAGATTTCGAAAGTCCGTATAGCGACGTTGTATGCTTGCAGGTTGTGGATCGATAATGGAAGAGTCTTGACGCACAGACAATTCATAGACCACATATCGTTTCACATTAAGATCCTCACCATCAGGAGGCATTATACGAGCTAGTTGGATTTCAAAGCGTAATAGAGTAGATCCGTCGTTCGGCAAATGAGGTGGCGTTGTGGAGGCAGGGCGTTCCCATAAATCTGTGACGGAAATAAAAAATATATTTCTATAAGCTAAAACAATTGATATCTATGTACATGTGCATGTAGGTAACCGACCTTTTTGTGCGGCTTTTGAAGCGACATCTTGTATAGCTAGCGAAGCGGATTCTATAGTTTCCGGACTTTCGAGCTCTTCGGTATTATCGCTTATACCGACAGAGTGCACTTGTGTCCTTCTGGCCATTGCTGCGCGCACTTAGAAATTATTATACTAATTCGTTTTAATTAAAAGTAACAATCGCTAAATCACTAAATGTAAAGTTAATTAGAAATAGTTCTTTGTTTCGAAGAAATTCTCAATTAGTATAAAAGCTCACGTAAAAAATAATAACGCTTTTGCTGATCATTTATAACTTACTCGCTGTTGATATAAAAACTGGTTGTTTTTTGTTGTTTTCTTAGCTGGCTTCAGTAAAGAGTTAATGTGCCGACTGTAACAAATTAAAATTATTCATCTCACCTAAAATAAATGAATTATATATATATTTTTTTTTTATAATACAAGCATGACTAATACGTATGCCATTTCTTGAGAAGTACGGAGGTTTAGAGAGTCATATTCAATCTGGAGCACAATGTATTGCATGTATGGTTAGTATGTTACAATAAAATGTATTGCTGTTATTTAATAACTAGCAGATGGAAAGAATTTCGTTTATCGCCCTTGTTATTAAATCGCTCAAACGTTAACTCTTTATTTACCTTATCGGTTCAAACACCTTTTGTTTATTATTAAACCCTTTGTTAGTTTTTGATATTTGACTAATCACTCTGCAATACAAAATACAAGTTGTGTATGAAATGAATGAATTAGCGCCTGCACTAAGCAAGAACGTACGTTATTTGCAAGCGTTGGTGCTGCCAGCCGGGTTTTGATGACATTTCAATATTGAAGTATGCATTTGTAAATTAATCGAAAGCCGCAAACAATGTTTTCATTATAAAAACTTGTAGCATGTACATTTATATATCTAAACATAGTTATTTTCATATATTAATCAAAATAACTATACAAATTGTGTAATTTCCATATACAAACATACTTCTGATTTCACGTTATCGATATACAAATTTAAAAACACAACATAATTAATTTTGTTTGGTAACCTCACTATTTACACAACAACAATTTCATTTGCAGATAAAATAGTGCACTTTTTACTTGGCATCCTATCATCATTAAATTAACGTATTAACAAAAAAAATGACGCTTCCGGAAATCTTTGGCTGTGGCTTCATCGCATTCGGTACACCATTAGCGATGTTTGTTTTCACAATAGCAAATGATTCCATACGAATAATTATCCTCATCGCTGCCGCCTTCTTTTGGCTACTAGCACTTCTGGCATCTGCCTTGCTGTGGTTTGCTCTGGTACCATTGAGAGATTACTTGTGGTTCGGTGTAACATTTTCAGTGCTATTTCAAGAAGGATTTCGCTACATTATCTATCGTATTCTGAGACGCACTGAACAAGGACTTCAAGCGGTATCTGATAATCCGGGTATAATCGAAAATAAGCATATTCTGGCTTATGTGTCCGGTCTTGGATTCGGTATAATATCTGGCATGTTTGCATTGGTCAATTTACTTGCGGATTTGGTGAGAAGACATTTAAAATTCTGGATATATGTATATATTTGCAATAATGATTGATCGATTTGGTTTATAGTCGGGTCCGGGTACTATGGGTCTTAAAGGCGGATCGGAAGTGTTCCTAATAACTTCGGCGATACAAGCTCTCGCAATGATCCTACTTCATACTTTCTGGAGTGTTATATTTTTCAATGCTTTTGATATCAATAACTACTTTCATATAGCTTACGTCATCAGCACGCATCTCTTCGTATCGCTAATAACATTACTCAACGCACAAGGGATGTACGCAGCCACATTATTGCCCACCTACATAATATTGTTAGCGTCAGCGGTTTTGGCATTTAAAGTAGCCGGAGGAAGCAAAATTTCGCTTGTTCGATTTGTAAAGTGTCAATGAGACGAGAAGATATCTGTATTAATCTATACTGATGTATTTAAACACTGTTGGCATTGACTATAAATGTAACTGCAATCAATTCATTTAGACTGCTGAGGCGACCAAGCTGCTAAACTAATTTTTAAGATGATCAACTTTACTCATTTATTTTCCGACTTTATTTCGATATGAAAAGACAGTGTTAATAACGTACAATAAAAGAAGCCATGATAATTCATATATGAGGTTAATATGTTTAATGCTTATGGAAAATACTGTGCTTTGCGCACTGTTATGCCGTAATCTGCAAGGGCGGGGGCCAAATCCTCCATAGTCAACGTGTATTTGCGATCTTTGGTTACCTTTGGTCCCTTTGTAAAAATTGAGAAGGCCTAAATATTTAAAAGATAAATTTATTGTCCCATTCTTACCGGTGTGTGAGTTCCTTGTGCAACGTTTTGGCTGTTGCAACGAGTTTTACATTGCTGCAGTGCATCATTGGCGACATCGGAAATAAACTTTTGAGTAGCTACCGATATCAAGCGCACAATGCGGGGATCATTTGATTCAAATCCGGCAGAATTTAGATAGCAAGCTGTCACTGCATCAGGCACTGTTGGTACATAATCCTCCAGTTGTAACATGAAATCGCTCAACTGTTGAACGACTGCACGTTCTTCTGGCATAGCTGTGGCACCTGAACCACCAGCAATCGAGCTGGACGAATGTGGACGGAAGATGCCGAAATTTGTGCCGATCATTTTAACTTGGTTTATAATTTAAGCAAATCTAGGTATCACAATAGTCTCCAATGTTTTCAATTCACTTGTTTACTTGACATTTCAGTTCAATTCATTTGTTTACATCAAATGTCAGTGCCAGTTTCAGTTATGCATGTTTACTTGTTCCAAATCCGTTCCGTCTTGAAAATAAAGGGACTACATGAAATATTTTGCAGAAAAACCAAAAAACAATTATCGACAAATTTCGATTCATCGACAAAAAAAAACTTTTCTGATTTTACATTCCTTAAGCTGCTACAAAACTATCGATCGAGGCTCATCAAAGTTGGGCTGGTATACAAGTTAACAGCTGATACACAGGGCTTGTTCGAGTCGGAATCACAACCGCAGTGTTGCGCGAATTATTAGCTTCGTTCCCCACGCTTTCCGGGCTGTTCCGGTAATTAGAGCGTAAAAATAAGTTACTCTCTTACAAGTGTCAAAAATGTGCCAACACGCGCCAAAAGCGCCCAGAGCGTGAGGCACGCAAAAAACCACATTTCGTGCCCGGATTCAACATATCAGCTCTAAACAATGATTTTACATGTGCGGGCTCGTGTGGAACAAACCTGTTAAAGTACCACGTTCGGTGTCAATTTCTAGTAACGTTTTATCATTTTGGAAGTTGCAACAGTCTTGTAAATTTTCATCAGCGCTGCAGTATTGCCGCTTTTGTTACGTGCCTCGAACAGGCCCACAATATTGTGGTGTGTGTATATTGATCATCTGAGTGTGGTTATCCTGATTTTTTTTTTAATTTTAACTAAAATTGTTAATCTTCCTCCATAAAAACTGGGCATTAATCACGTAACTTTGAAACGATACACTTTCAAACGATACTGACAAAATGACGTCGTCAAAACACTGATTTATGCATTTGTGTTGCTGTTACGTGTTACTGTTACTGCGCATCGGCGACCGAACTAAAAATGTTTTGATTTTACACAGACAGTGTGAGAGACTGTCTGTCTGTGCAGACATAAACTGCGTCAACATGGCAGCTAATATTCAAAAAGTTCGATTTTGGTTCAAATGTCCCTCAAACGGCTTGTCAAACCTGCAACCACGGCCACACAACTCAAATACCTTGAAGCAAAGGGATATTTCTTGCATGGTCGAGCCGCTTGTGTGGTGTATTTGTATAAACAATCGATAGTGCAAAACAAAATCGAGTGATTAAAAAAAATTACTATCGATAGTATAAACAGTGCAATAGATTTTACCCCAGAACTAATTCCTTGTATAAATTGTCGAATACCTGCAGAAAATAATAACAAAAAACATTTTTCCCCGTGTTTACCAAAGGCATTGGCATTTTCTTACAAAATGGTAATTGGCAACGAAGAGAATTCACCCTCTCCAGCATCACCTCCGGTAGATCAGGAAGACTCTCCACCATTGCCAGCCCCAGTAGGTGAAGCATTGGGCGAGTTGCTGGAACAATTGGAGGATTATATCCCAACTGTACCAGATGCCCTTACCGCAAGATATTTGAACCAGGCAGGATTTGAGACAATGGATCCTCGTATTGTGCGTATAATTTCAGTGGCAGCGCAGAAATTCATTTCCGACATTGCCAATGACGCATTGCAGCACTGCAAAACCCGAACAAGCAGCCAACACTCTGGTGGTCATGGTTCAAACAAGGTAAGTTGTCTGGCAACATAAAAATTAAAGATTGTGTTGCAATCCAATTTCACTTCTAGGATAAGAAGCCGAATAAGGATCGACGATATACTTTGGCCGTCGAAGATCTAACACCAGCTTTGGCCGATCATGGCATTACAATGCGAAAACCACAATACTTTGTGTAAACCACATCAATAAAACTTTCATCTGGTAGAGCATCAACATCGTGCAATGAACCTTTAAAATTATTGGCTTTTATGGAATTATTGAAATTATTTAATCTCTCCCAAAACGTCTAATTGGGTTTTTTTTTTTTAATTTTCAAAATACGTAGAGTACTAACGTAGATAAATTTAATAAGTGCTTTTTTATTTACGTGTTTTCATTATTTAAATTTTTTATTTTTTCTTATAAGCAGATCACTTTGGGGATAAATGCATAGAACTAATCACCTGCGCGTTATTTTCAAAACATACAGATATTCCCCTGGTATCCGCCTCTCCATAACCTTAATTGCAATAAAACCTAAACTAGTCAAATCTTGCATCAATTCGTCCGGCTTGTTTTCGCGAAGTGTCAGTAAATAGAAGACTCCTTTAACAGATAGAATACCATCCAGACTCTTAATCAACTCATCAACAACACGTCGACCAAGTAATCCGCCTGCCCATGAGTATACAAGATTACTTGGCTTTTGCGATTCGGCAAGTGATTGATATTTGAACTCTTCGTCTGTGGTTACAACATAAGGCGGATTGAATATAAGTAAATCTATACACTTTTCTCGTAGAGCGTCCAACAAGTTACAATTTATGCTATCGACATGCGTGCCATTGCGATTCGCTGTTCGCCTCGTCACTTTACATGCATATGAATTGATGTCGGTAGCCAAGCAAAGCGTTTTATTCAATTTCTTAGACAATGCTGTTACAATTATTCCACTACCGGGTCCAATTTCCAAACAAACTCGAGGTTGTAAGCCTTCGAGGTATGGGAGATCAGCTTCTAAGGCATCCAGCAATAGAAACGAATCTTCTGCAGGCTCATATACCTGCTCGTAATCGGGCGCTGTTAAGTGGTCTGTGTAGGGTGTTTCCATCTTCACTTTTCTAAGAAATGTTTGTGCTTATAGCTGAATCCAACAGAGCTTGCCTACGCCGCTGCTCCTTCTCGATTAGTTTGTACAAGCCAGCCAAACGATCCTGACTTGTGCTAAGAATATTTGTTATAACTGTTACCTTGTGCTTCACGTTTATTAACTCCTTGACCTTGCTCGAAAATTCTGGAATATTATGCTGTGCTTTTTCAATTTCAACCAATTGCTCTGAAAGTGCATCCAACTGTTTCTTCAATTCTATTTGTGAAGCCCTAGTGGCTTGGATATGTTCATCTAATTTTTCCACCGATGGCTTGAACAAGTTTACAATACCTTCTGCCAAGATATCTCGAGTAGGATTGGTGCAGAAATTTTCTGTATTCTCATCTAGTGATGTTACAGTGCTATCCGAGTCTTTATCCATTGTTGGATTGATAAATATTAACAAATACTTATATTTCCACAAACTTTTGTGATTTCCATATCGAATACGTGTGAGGAAAAAACAAATACGGCCGTGTGATTGACCAAATTGGATTTATAGAAATCACAGGGTGTTTGTGAGTAAAAAAAATCTAATGCAAACAACGTTTTGGATCCAAGTGTCCGGCCACCATCAACTCTACAACCAAAAAAAAAACAACGTTTTGGTAAAAAAAACTAGGATTCAACGCCTATGCTGTTTTTTTTAAATTAATTCCACAATAGAATTGCTTTGTAAAATTTATAGACCAATTATAACAAAATCCCATTGTAGAATTAATTCTTCTAGACATAGTGGTACCCCCTTTGTTTCATTTCCCTTATTTCATTTCAATATTTGGTGTGAAATGAAAACGACAAAAATGCGTATTGGTGATATTTTAAACCACTCTGTGTGTATTGGCAATTGAAAAATACGCCATTGTACAATTTTATACACAAAAACCAGAAGGACAGGATAAGCTACGCATTTGTGAAATGTAAGTTATTTTTTGCAACTTTGATTTGATTAACTAGTTGTATTATTTGCATATAAAGGGGACGTCACAAAAACGCCGCACAGGAAGCCATTATGATAAACTTCATGCAACAGTACCCCGGAATTGCGTGTGGTACGATTCAGTGTAAACAAAAGCGGAACGCGTTATGGGAAGCTCTTGCAGAAAAGCTGAATAGCCGGGGACCACCAAAGAAACCAATGCAGCGGTGGAAGAAGGTTATTAATCCATTCACATATGTACATAAATATATACATACATATATGTGTAGCGAGATCTTTTTTATGGTTATTTAGGTTTGGATAGATTGGCGCGCAGCAGTAAGAAGAAAGATCATGTTTGAAAAAATTGAAGCCAACGCATCAGTCGCACAGGACGACGAAACATTATATAAAAAGACTACATTATCGCCTGCCGAAGGTGAATTAGCTCGTATATGTAAGCTTTTTGAAGCTGATGTCGACGTTGATAACAGCTCAGACGTGCAAGAAGATTCGAGTCCGATCTCTGAGGGCACCGACACAATTGTCAAAGACGAGTTAGTGTTCGACGAGGAAGATGATGAAAATTCAAAAGATTATGATGTTGCTGTTGCAGCTTGTGAGGATAGAAGTAATGAGAAGTCCACAGAGGCCGAAAACATAAGTGTGCGAGATTTCGCTCAATGTCCAACTTCAAGTGGACTAAACATTAAAGTAGATAGTAGTGAGGATAAGGTTGAAATTAAAAAGCGCAAAATTGATGCAACAACAACAGAAGAAAGTGATGACTTAATCAAGATTTTAAGACAGCAAGCAACTGTGATAAGTACGATTACGAAGTTTCTTACAGAAAACGTAAATTTGCAAACCGAAAATTTCCGGGTTATGAATGAAATAAGACAGGGCCTAAAGGAAGTTTGTAAGTCAATAAAAACACTCAGTGACGTTACGAATGATAATCTAAAGGAGCAACGCCGACACAACTATGAAATAGAGAAGCTGCAAAGAGAAGAGGTCTTATTAGCAAAACAACAACTAGAACTGGAAGAATTGAAGGTATTTGGAAATAGAATGCACGAGTAATTTCTACAGTATTTTGATAAATTCTTTTAACTTTCTGTAAGTCATAAGTCTGGATTTTCATTTGTTTCATTATTTCGGCAATATGAATAGTCTTTGCCTTACTATGTATGTATTTAATTTTCATTTAAAGTTACGAATGTTAACATCATTCCCCTTAAGTCGTATTAATTTTAATGAAATAAAATAGAAATTTTACATATAATCTTATGTTTAAGGCAGTATCTGCTCTATTATAGGTGAATATCTATTGTTAAATATACTGAACGTTGTAGCAGAAAGGCGCAGCATCAAAGTTCGCATAAGAATCAATTTTAAGTCCAAAACAACATACCGGCATTATTAATTTTTTATTATTTTATAATTTAAAGTTATACTGTTAAGTTTGAACGCAATGAAAATCGAAGGTTCCTTTCCGTCTCCTTTTTTATGAATATGCCGTCGTTTAAGAGTGCAAAACCGGGAACCGTGGTTCTACAAAAGAGAAATAATACAGTTTTTACTCTAGGTAAAATTTGAGCAACCTCACATATGATGTCTTGCATTATCTTGATACGCGGTTTTGTACTATAAACGCCGATATTTTAATTAAATTTTTATGAACATACATACAAAATGTAAATGCAAATTTTTTTTTAGATTTTTCAGAGATATTATAATGCATTAGGTCCATTTTAGTACCACCAAATTTTTAATCAGGTTTTTATTGTTATAAAAATATGAATTAAAATAAAATAGGTACGTATGTACATACAATTCATTAACAAAAACAGAGTAAAATATCGGTTGTTAGTTTATATGTAGTTTGCCCTTCTTTCAACTTCGTTATTTACTACATCCGTTGTGGCATTGTGTCCACCAATTTTTTCGTAACATCAGACACCGATTTTAAATTTTTGAATAAAAATAAATAATTCGATCTTTAACATTTAAAAGCAATTCCCATGAAAAAATATTACCGACATGAAAGGAAATAACTCTCCGAGAAATGTAGTCGGTTGGTCGTGCGGGAGTCGATATATTTCAAAAATCTGCACCTATGGTTTGATTTACTTAGAAAACACAGCAGTCTCTAACGTTAGAGAAATTTGGATTTCTACATTAGATGACTAGGGTAATTCTTTAATCGTTCTCGAGTCGATGAGATTAGAGAAACAACGCAAATTCAAATAAATGTAAATAAGCAATATTCCAAATGAATGAATCATAAATTATTTCAAGTTCAAATAATTAATTATTATTTTATTGCAAATACATTAAATACAAACTTTACAAACAGCGTTTTGTTTAATGAAGCAGAACAATAGTTTGAAATTCACATTTGAATATCACATTAGAGATCAACATTAGAGTACGATCAAAGAATTAATATTTTTTCGAGTCGAGAACTATGTCCCATTTTTGTTGAGATCGCTATGATTCTCGATAGTTTCTCGAGTCGTTCTCTAACGTTTGTGATTGGAGAATGTGGCTACTTCTCCAATCATTCTCTAATCGATAACTAACGTCAATGTTTGCTGGGTTAGTTTAAATATAGGGTGGTATTCGGTTTGTTCCACACGAGACCCCCCGCGGGTGACCTAAACAGCCCAGAAAGCATTCCTCACGCAATAGAAATGGGTAATAGCGAGCGAATACCTTCCACTTTGGGATCGTAAATGTCTTCTTCTTCGTGCCCCAAACAGCCAGGACCTTTTTCCGGGCAGAAATGTGCGACAAGTCAATTTGAAATAACAGGTTTGTTCCACACGCTTTCCGGGCTGTAATTAGAGCGTCAAAAAAAAGTTACTCTCTCACAAGTTTCATGAGTAGCTCTAAATGCTACTCTAAACGTACATTTATCTATATACAAAATTCGTCGCCTAAATGCAACTAAATTCAACTCCATTTCTGCATTCTAAATGCTAAAAGCAACCCTGTGATCTTCAAAACTTTTCCACGATTCGAACATGGTTTAATGCAAGGCGTATTTAACAAGGTGGTGTTGGCTGTATATAAGTAAAAAATTACACTAACAAATTATACGCTGATGTCCATACTGTCATTGGTATCACTTACAACAAACACATCATTTTGACGTAATGGCCTCCACGTCGAAAAACCCAGCT